CATATTATTTTTTAAAGATTTGTTTGTTGATTTATTTAGTGCGTGTGTACGTGTGTGAGTGCGTGCGTGCATGCGTGCGTGTGTATGTGTGTGTGTGTGTGTGTGTGTGTACACATGACATGGCAGACAGGTGGAGGTCAGAGGGCAATTTTTGGGGAGTCAGTTCTTTCCTTGTTTTTTTGTTTGTTTGTTTGAGACCCCAGCTGGCCTGGAATTCTCTATATAGACCAGGTTGAGCTCAGTCTCAAAGGGATCTGCTTGCCTCTGCCTCCCGAGTGCTGGGACTAAATGTGTCTACCACCATGCCCGGCTCGTTCCTTGTTTTTGAGGCAGGGTCTCTCGTTTCTGCCATTGTACTCTGTACAGGAGTGGCAGGCTGATTATCCTGTCTCACCATGGCAGTGTCAGACCCAACCACGTTCAGTATTTTAAATTTATTATTGTGTGTGTTGCATGTGTGAGAGTGCGTGTGTGTGTGTATGTGTGTGTGTGTGTGTGTGTGTGTGTGCCACAGTACATGTGTGAAGGTTAAAGGACAGCTTTTGGTTCTTTCCTTTCACCTTTATGTGGGTTTTGGGGATTGACCTCAGGTTGTCAGGCTTGTGCAGTAAGCACTTTCACTCACTGAGCCATCTCCTTGATGCATCAGCTATAAACTGTTAAGCATAAAAAGCAAGGTACAGCTGGGTGTGGTGTCACACGCCTTTAATCCCAGCACTTGGGAGGCAGAGGCAGGCACATCTCTGTGAGTTCAAGGTCAGCCTGGTCTACATAGTGAATTCCAGGACAGCTGGGGATACAGGGAGACCCTATCTCAAAAAGAATTAAAAAAAAAAAAAAAAAAAGAAAGGTACAGGGGCGGGAGAGACGGCTCAGCAATTAAGAACACTGGCTGTTCTCACTGAGGACCTGGCTTCGATTCCCAGCATTCACCTGGTTCTAACAACTATCTATAACTCCAGTTCCAGGGGATCTAACGCCCTCTTCTGACCTCTATGGACACTGCATGACAGGGGTATACTTATATACATGCAGGTAATACACTCATAAAATAAAAATAATAAATAAAATATTTTTTAAAAAGCAAAGTACAGGGCTGGATCTAGAGAACCGAGATGGCTCAGTGGTTAAGAACACTGGTTGTTCTTACAGAAGATCCGGGTTTGAATCCTAGCACCCACATGGCAGCTAACAACTGTCCATAACTCCAGTCCCAGGGGATCCGACAGCCTCTTCTGAGCACCCACATGGTAGCTAACAACTATCCGTAACTCCAGTCCCAGGGGATCTGACAGCCTCTCTGACCTCTGCAGGCATTGCACGACACAGGTGCACTTACCTACATGCAGGCAATACATGCATACACATAAAATGAAAATAATAGAATTACAGCCTTGTCTACATAGTGAGTTCCAGGACAGCTGTGGCTACAGGGAGACCCTGTCTCAAAAAGACAAAAAATAAATAAATAAATAAATAAATAAATAAAGATAAAAAACAAAACAAAACACTGTTAAACAGCAAGATACAGAATAGTTGATATGGCATGTTGATAAACAGGATCTCGCTACGTAGATTTTTGTGTTTTTAAGATATAAAGTGCTGGGCATGGTGGTACGCACCTTTAATCCCAGCACTTGGGAGGCAGAGGCAGGCAGATCTCTTGAGTTCAAGGCCAGCCTGGTCTTCATAGTGAGTTCCAGGTCAGCTGGGGCTACAGGGAGACAAAAAAAACAAAAACAAAAACAAAGAAAAAGCATGTAAAGTATGTAGCAGAATGCTTGACATTCAATAAGCATTCACTTTGTTCTTCGGCTTCCTTCTCCCAACACTGATATGTTCCTACTTTAATGCTTCATCTCTCTTTGGTGTCTTACGTTGTTTGCCTACGTTCTGGGATCCTGTGTCTTAGCTGAGCTCTATCTGTAGAACTACTAACTCTTTCTCAGTTTTGCTCTAACTCTGTTTTTCAAAGTGGTTCTTTTGTATCTATATTTTGGTCATGGAGAATACATAACATTTGTGGGAGGGGTGTGCTGGGGAACTCACACCCAAGGCCTTGAACATGCTAGACAAGAACTCTCTCACAGAGTTCCACCCCTGGCCCTATGTAACTTTTTTCATATGGAAATCTTTTCCTTTGTCATTCATTTAATCTGGTAATTATTTACCTAGAAAACCTATCTTCTGGGTGGTGTGATGGCTCAGCAGGTGGGGAACTTGCTGCCAAACCTGACAACTTGAGTTTGATCCCTGAGTCTCACATGATGGAAGGAAAGAAGTGACTGTCACAGGTTCTGACCTCCACACATGCATCATGGCAAGTGCATACACACTCACACGTATACACCAATGAATAAATGAAAGAGGAAGAAAAAAAGAGAAACAAAAAGAAAATCTATACCTTTAAGAGGTTTAATAAATATTAAATCCTTTTTTCATCTGGGTTTTCTTGGTTTGTTTTGGACATATTTTATTCATTAATCCAGCAGTCATTTATTATATGGTATGTTAATCTAAACCATTTCCTTCCAAGCTAACTTATGCCTATTCCATTTAATGAATAAGTCTTTCTTTCTTGATAAGTTTTCAAAGTCATATTATTTACCGTATCTTAAACTCTCAAAGAATAGGCCTACTTTGTTCTACTCAATTCCCT